CCGCCCCCGCCCCTCCCCCACCCACACACACACAAATACACACATGTGCAAGGTGGCCCGAGTTACAGGGCTTCACTGAGCTGATTTGGGCTTTAATCTTTGACCTAGACACAGTGAAAAGTTAGATTTCCCCAAGTTGTCAGTTTTCCCCTCACTAACAGTTTAGCCCCCCACCCCATGGTGCACCCCCTCCATGTAGCCCCTTAACACTTGTGGGCTGCTGTGACGGTAAGCCAGGTTCTCCATCTCTCTTATCTGATTTTCATAACCACCTGGCATTCTTAGACCATTTGACAGCAGGGGAAACTGCTAAGGCTCAGTAAGATGCCCCAAATTAGACAGCTCCATGCCCCAGAGCAGCAAATGGCAAAATGAAATGGAGAAACTCCAAAATATCAGAAGTAACAAATCACATTTATTTCAATAACATGAGCTCCCCAGCTCAGCAAGGCCCTATAAAACCTGCCATTGACCGTATTGCACCCTGGGCTCTGTAGGCACACAGAGGAGACCTAGCATCTGGCCAGACTGAGACCAAGGGTGGGGCCAGCCACAGGAAAGGCTGCCCTGCTCTGTGACAGGCAGAGTGAAAACAGCTCACTGCTGGCTCTTGAGCCAAGCCCAGGGACAAGGATGGCCCCAGCCCAAATCCAGCATGGGGGGGGGCTTCTCTCCTTGGCCAGGGCTGTCCTTGACACCAGAGCGGGTGATTTGGGGAGGGTACTGGCTGCCTCAAGCCAGCATTCTGCTTTGTTTTACCATAGACAGAGAAGACAAAAAAAGATTCTCTTTGCAACCTGAAACTCCATCATCCACTCAGGGATCCTGGGAAAGCACCTGATAGCTAGAGCAATTAAAGGAAGCAAGCATCAAGCGACAAGGCAGGACAGGCGGTAGGCATACAGGTGAACAGTGCCTAAGGTGGGCTGCACCCAAACCCAGCCAGGTGAGATGTCAGCCCAATGCAGTGGTTGTCAAAGTGGAGTCCCCAGGGTTCATCAGAAATGCCCATTCTCGGGCTCCTCCGCAGGGTACCCTGGAGGGGCCCGCCCCGCAGGCTAGTGCAGCCGCAGGTAGGAGGGGGTGGAGTAGTTGAACAGCAGGAAGTCCATCCTGTAGAGGTCGAAAAGGCGCCGCTGGTAAAAGGGGCTGATGTCCCGGAAGAGGCGCGCGGCTTGGTTATGCGTGGTGGCCGCCTTGGCCAGGGGTGGAGGCGCAGGGAAGCGCAGGCCGGGCAAACCCACAAAGCCCAGCACGAAGGCCGCATCCTCCGCCAGCGTCTCGAACTTACCCACGATGTCGTAGCGCAGGCGGCACGGGTGGCAGAGAGCGTGGGCGCGCTCCCAGTGTTCGTTGAAGGGTTCGTCGCGGCGCGTGCGCGGGTCCAGCAGGTAGGCCAGGAACTCCGCGAAGCGCACATCGTGGCCGCGGGCCAACGCATCGGGGTGCGGGCGGGGCCGCAGGCGCCGCACGATGCGCGTGCCGTATCGTCGCTGGAAGGCCGCGCTGTAGGGCCGCACAAACTTGTTGCTGTAGGCGGAGGCCAGGCGCTCGAAGGGCTCGCGCACGAAGAGGAAGGCCAGGTAGGCGCGCAGGCGCCGGTTGATCTCCGCGGGGCTAAAGTCGGCTAGAGAGGGCAGGCGGCCTGGAGCGTGCACCTCGTGCGCAGGGATGGAGCGTGGGTCCCCGTGGGTACTGCCATTCAGCGCCAGCAGCACGCGCTTCCAGTTGGTGCAGGCCACCTTGGGCACGTAGCAATAGAGCAGGCCGTGCGTGTCGTCCACCAGCACGTGCCGCAGGTCCTCGGGCCGCAGCAGGCGCTGCCGGCGTGTGTGGCGGCCGCAGGTGCGGCGCAGCAGATCCCGCCGCTGTCGGTGCACCTCAGCCAGGGCCGACAGCGGGCCCTGCGGGCGACAGGGTAGGGGTCAGGGCTGCTGCCCGGTCTGTTGTGGCCAGGGACGTGTGTGAGCCAGGGCCAGTAGACAGGCAGGGGACCTGGACTGGAACCCTAGTGCTGCCACGGATCACTACTGTGTTTCACCGAAAATAAGACTGAGTCTTACAGTAATTTTTGCTCCAACAGCCTACATTTATTCATTTATAAAAATTTACACTTATTCGAACAATCATGTCTGGCTGATGATCTTAACTGGGGCTTATGTTTGGGGTAGGGCTTATATTAGGAGCATCCTGAAAAATCATGCTAGGGCTTATTTTCCAGTTAGGTCTTATTTTCGGGAAAACAGGTATGTGATTTGGGGCCCAGGCATATGTCTTAGACCTGGGGTAGGGGGTTGGGGGTTCCAATGAATCTAACTTGGCAGAGGCATGTGAAAGGATGTGACTAGTCACTTACCTGGCACTCAGAACAGAGGAGGTACTGATAATAAATATGATATGGTCAGAGTAAGCCTGATAAAATATGACTTCAGAGTGGGCACAAATTGGATATCTGCTGTTTACTAAAACTAGTAAAGTGTATAAATAGAGTTGAAAGTTGCAGCCACTTGCAGACTATCAGGATATTTTTTGTTCGATAATAAAATTAGCTAATGCTATATTTATGAATTGACATGTTCCTTTGGGTCTTGATTGCTCCACCCCCACCCCCAACAAATTCTAATCTCACTGCTTGGTCAGGAAGCTTGCCCTCTCTGATCCTGTCCCTCCTCTGTGAAATAATAACACCCAGCATTTATCTAGCACTTATTGTGTGCCAGACACCTTGCTATGCCCTTTACAACTCTATGAATTAGGTATTAGGAAGACCCTTGGGCCAACCCTTCCCAGCCCTCTTCAGCTGTGCCAACACCCAGGTCAGTTCCTCCAGCAACACCTCCTCCTTTGTTCAAGTCCTTTATGCCCTGAACAGGATGTCCACCTCTAAGATTAACTCTCCACCCACTACCCCCACCTCACTTCTTGGTGGTTTTTGGCCTAAGAGTTCTTAAGAGAAAGTGTTTTTAATTTCTCAAAATTGCATTTAAAAGCCTTCAGAATATAACAAAAAGACAATAAATATTGGTGAGGATGTGGGAAAGTGGAACCATCACTCATTGCTGGTGAGAGTGTAAAATCTTACAGCTGTTGTTAAAAGCAGTTTGGCAGCTCTCAAAAAAAGTATACATATGATCTAGCAATTCCATTCCTAGATATACCTAAGGTAACTAAAAACATAAGTTACACAAAACTTGTATACAAATGTTCACAGCAACAGTATTCATAACAGCCAAAGAGTGGAAACAACTCAAATGTCCATCAACTGATGAATAGATAAATATGTAGTCTATCCATACAATAGAATATTACTCAGCCATATGGAATGATACTCTGATGCATGTGAAAACATGGATGAACCTTGAAAACATGCACACTAAATGAAAGAAGCCAGACACAAGACCACATGTATGATTCCATTTACATGAAATGTCCAGAGTAGATCCATAGAGACAGAAAGTAGATTGGTGGTTGTCATGAGCTGGGAGGAGAGGAAAATGGGGAGTGACTACTAATGGGTACTGGGTTTCTTTTCGGAGTGATAAAAATTTTCTGGAATTAGATGGTGGTGATGGTTGAGCAGCCTTGTAAATATACTAAAACCACTTAATTGTATGCTTTAAAAGAGGGAATTTTATAGTATGTGAGTTACAGCTCAGCTAAAATAAAGACTTCAGAATGTTCCATTTCAGAGGAGGCCACAGACAGATAAGATACTTAAGTGCAAAAAGTTAAAGTGAAGAACAGGACTTCATATGCCACACTTTGGGTTTATAAAGGGTAGGGAAGGAAATGTTTTAAATGTTTCAAAAAGGATGAGTTGTGGGGAGTTTCTCTTTTATTGGATTGTCGGAAAAGTCATGACGTATTTTTTTCTGGTTTGCATCGCAAAAATGTGTCCTGACTTTTCTGACAACCCAATAGATATATGTTGAAATAGTCACAGAATCAAGGCTGGGATTTGCTTCAAAATAATACCAGGTAGGAGTGGCGGGGGAGGGGTCAGGATGAAACAAGATTGGACAGGAGTTGACCACTGTTCAGACTGGGTGATGGAAACATGGGGGTTCATTGTATTATTTTCTCTACGTCTGCATATGTTTGAATTTTTCAAAATGAAAAGTTAAAATAGAGAGAGGTCATATGTTCCTGTAGGTGAGGTTTTTAAAAGGTAACATAAGCACATGATAACATTTGATGCTACATTCATGCCTAGAACATGTCTGAAAGGACACAGGGAACTGGCCACTTCAGGGGAAATGGGGGGGAATGAGAGGCGCTCTTCACTGGACATTCTGTGGGAGTATCGAATGCCCTATCATGTGCTTATATTACTTTTTCAAAACCTCACCGTAGGGATGGTTGCCAAGTTCAGCCATGGCTATAGGGGGCCTGAGGGCACTTAGAGGATTGCACTTCCACCTTCTGAGGCACTGTCTCGTAGGACTGGCTTCAAACGCCTGGCTCCACGTGAGTGCCAGAAGAGGACTGTATCCAGGGGCCCCACAGCCAAGGTCTGCTTTCAGCTTCCAGACAACCCAACTCATTTCTCGTGACGTGGAATGTTGGCCATTGACCTGTCAGTCCCCCTCCTTCCTTGACAGCAGACCCTAGCTGTGTTAGACCATGTGCCCAGCCTCAGGGAGGGACCAGTCACACCTTTATTAAAGTGTGGGTCCAGGGGGTGGACATGTGGCCTGGTCCTGGCCAAGGAAAAATAAGGGAAGTGTGCTGGATGGCTTTCAGGAAAGACTTTCCTTCAGGAGAAAAAGTGAGGGCTCCTGAAGGAAGAAGACCCTTTGTCCCATCCCCTCCCCCTTCTGCTTAGGTTGCTGTCCTGTGAGACGTCAGGGCCCCGGCAGTCATCTTGCATCCATGAGGCAACAAGTATATGACAGAAGTCAACATCCACAGGATGCTGGTGGGCAGTGTTGCTGAAGTCCATGGGGATGCTGGTCTCTGAGCATCTTGGGAGTACGCACTGACTGTCCTGATGGCTTAACTCAGACTTAGTTGCCTTTTCTGTTTTTTGCAGGCCTGTGAATACCTAGATAGTGAATTCTCTCTCCACTTTACAGGTGAGAACACCGAGGCTTAGAGGAAACGAGCTGTCTACAGCCCTTCAGTAGAGAAGCTGGGGCTGCAGCTCAGGTCTCTTGGGACTAGTAAGCCAGGGCTCTGCCTGCTGGTGTGGGGCTGCATCTGGCAGTGACACCTTCATCCCTCCCAGCTGGGCTGGCCTCAGCTGCCTGAATCCTTAGCCTGGTCCTAGTCCCTATGACCTGTGTGACTTTCTCAGGGCCCTTAGCCTCCCTGTGTCTTGGTTTCCTCATCTGTATACAGGTATAACAACAGCCCCACCTTACAGGGGTGCTGTGAGGACTAAGTGAGCCTCATATGCAGTTAGCACTTGTTGGCCAGATTGTTTTTAATACTGTTATTTCTCCAGCTGGAAGGTGCTAAGCTTCCAGGGCCTTGACACCCCAAGATCACTGGGTCCTCAGGCTGTGATGGGCTGAGACAGCCCCATCTGCCCCTCAAAACCCTGCAGCACTAGTGGAAGCTGGGGCACTAATGAGGGCCTGGCCTGCCCTCGACTTGCTGTGTGGCTCGGGGCAAGCCAGTGACCCTCTATGAATCAAGGCCTTCCCACCTGCAACCAAAGGGTACAGGCCAGATGAGCTCCACATGCCCCTTTGGCTCAGTCCTCAGGGATTCAATGAATAGCCACTTTCCCAGCCCCAGTCTGATCATTCTCCCTGGCGTAAAACACTCCATGGCTCCCTATTACCTTTGTTACACCTGCCGGGCCAAAACAGGCAAGCTGCCCACCCCTAGCTCACCTCACATACCCTTTTTTGTCCTCTGTTCACCTCCACATGCTTGGCTCCTACAGTTTGCTTCTTAACTCTTCCTTTGCAGGTCTCAGCTTTCTTAAGAGAGGGTCCCTCTCCCCCATCAAAACTAGGACCCTCCTGGTAGAGTTTTCGTTGCACTTTGTACTTCCCCTTTAGACATGAATCAGTCACAGGTTAGTGCAGGTGGTGATCAGATGCTCTCTTCCCCTCCATGGGACTGTCAGCTGCACAAGGGCAGGGACCCAGTCAAACTGCTTGTGGCTGGATTCATAGCTTTCTGAGCACAGCCTGCATACAATAGGTGTTCAACACATGCTGCCTGAATGGGTGCCTCTGAGTCTGCCTGCTGGGGTTGGTTTGAGCCAGGCAGTGTGGCTTTAAGTGGGGTAAAACCATGTGTGTGTTTAGGGCAGTGTGTGGTCCCAGTGGGGCCAACATCAGAAGTGGAGTTCGCAGATCAGTGAGCCACTTGGTCCATTGCTTGAGAACAGGCAAGGCAGGGGCTCTTGGTGTGTTTACCTATTTGCAGTTGGTACTAAATTTGGAGGTTCACTTAATTAGTGTCTCCCCACTATACTGTCAACTACCTGAGGGCAGACTCACTGTCTTTTTCACTCTTTATCTTATTTACAATACGTAGAACAGTGCCTGGCACAGAGTGGCCCCAGACTGTTGTTGGGTGGATGATGGATGGGTAGGGGGGTGGAGACCCCAGCTCTCCCAGCTTGCCCCCAAGTTTTTCCCTTGTCACATCCCCAGGCATTCTCATTCTCTGAAAAGAGTCTGGATTTGCAAAGGAAGCCTCTCTATGCCCAATGTGGGTTCCATCCCATGACAGCAGGTCTGCACTGGGGCTCTGAGGTTCCCGTGTCTGGAGGTAGAGGTAGGGGTCCCAGGGTGGGGTCTGTCCACCTACCTTGTCCAGGTCATAGAGCATCTGCAGGGGACTCATCTTCTTCCCACCAAGCCAGCCAGAGCCCAGGGCACTGTTTTCAGATTCTGTGGGGCATATAAAGGTGTCACCTCTGCATCAGATGAACTTGCTTTGGCACTGTGTGAAGGCTTGGCCAACTCACCTAGAGCACAGTTAATCCACTCTGGAGTTCAGTTTCTTTCCTATGTTTTGCCTGCCTGGGGGCAGGGCAGTTTTTGGTGGAGTGCAGGGGAGCACTGACAGGGCCCCTAATCCACCAGGACAGGGTGCTTGGTGTCACTTTTTTTTTTTAAGATTTTATTGGGGAATTGGGGAAGGGGAACAGTATTGGGGAACTGGAGAAGGGGACAGTCAAATTGTTGTCCTTCAGTCTTAGTTGTGGAGGGCGCAGCTAGCTCAGCTCCAATCCCAGTCCCCATCTGGCCACCCGTTGGCAGCTCGCAGCCATTCAACTCAAGGTGCCATGTTCAATCTTAGTTGTGGGTAGGCGTAGCCTACCATCCCATGAGGGAGTCAAACTGGCAACCTTGTTAGGAGCACGTGCTCTCACCAGCTGAGCCATCCTTCTACCTGTTGGCAGCTCAGCGGCAGCTTAGCTTGGGTGCAGCTCACTGGCCCATGTGGGAATCGAACCAGTGACCCTGTTGCCCAGAGCTCATGCTCTTAACCAACTGAGCCACTCAGCCGGCCCGCTAGGTGTCACTCTTGCCTTCATGTTCTACCCTCCCCCCCAGAGTTGGAGGGTGCCAGGCAGGAACGGATGAGAAGGAAGATGGTACCTAGCCCAGAGTCCTCTGGGAAAGGCCTGACCACCAAACTTCACCCACCTCTATCTGCCCTCATCTCATGCCCTGCCCCTGCCAGCCCCATGACTAAGGAGCCCTGAGGGGCTTAACAAGCTATCTGTCTAGCCTCCCCAGATCCTGGGGGTAGGCAGCCAGAAAAGGCTGAACAGCAGTGGAGGTGGCACAGCCAGGATGTAGACTCTCAGAGTAATAGCTCACAGGTCAAGTGACCCACTGTGAACTCCTACAGCAGCATTTACTTTCCATGGCAGTGCACATGCCTCCTCATAGTAAATACAGCATTAGCTGTCTCATAGACTGGACACTTCTGAGAGCAGAAATGCAATCTGTCTGTCTCAGTGCCGCATTCTTCAATCTTCCTAAAACCACCGAAAGTTCAGCTTGATAAGTTTTTTATTTTACTCAAAATGTGTTTTAAGGACTATCTTCTTAAACATATTTAATAATTGTGACTATATTCTTAGTAATATAATCAATATAGGTAAGTAAAGGTTCAAGACCTTCTTGATCAAATTTTTCTTAAATATGACTAAAATTATTATAATAATAATAAACGAATAAAGTATAACCTAATCTTTACAAAGTCACCAAATTGGCAGATCTTTAACTAAATTGATGAAGAAGAAAAGAATGAAGACTCAAATTACTAAAAACAGGAATGAAAAGGAGACATTAGTAATGGACCTTATAGAAATAAGAAAGGATTATAAGATTATAAGAC